GTGTGTGTGTGTGTGTGTGTGTGTGTGTGTGTGTGTGCGCGCGCGCCTGCAGCGCGCAGGGTAGGCGTGTGTGTTCGCCCGCAGCGCGCAGGGTTGGTGCACCGCATGGATGAGCAGTGCCGGGGTTCGGGTTCGGGACTTGCCCAGGCAGATCCCTGGCACCGCAGCGGGGATCCCCAGCGCCTCAGCCGGACGCTCCTCCCACAGTCTCTCACGTCGACGGCCGGGGGCGGGCCCTGGGAAGGGGGCGTGGAGGGGGTACAGAAGCTTTAAAAGCAGCGCGCGGCCAGCCGCAGGCTTACTGCGAGCGTGGTGGTAACTCCGTGCTACTGGTTGTTTTCCTATCTCTCCTTCATGTCACTGCACTCCCCGCGCACAGCGCGCGACCAGAAGACGGAGCCTGGGCGCTCCGTGGGAACAGTGCGCGCAGGTGGCCGCAGAGCCGCGGCTCGGCTGGCGGAGATGCCGGGGAGGAGGGCGCGCAGGGGCGCGCAGCCGAGCCCCCCGCGGACAACTCCAGGTACGCACCGGGGGTCAGGCAGGCCGGGCTCGGGCGGGCCAGGTGTGCGTTCCCTGCGCCTCCTGGGAGTCTTTGTGGGGGTGCCTTGGTGCCGCGGAGACAGCGGGGCAGGGAGCTGCGTTTGGCTCCCGGTTGCGGCCGCCGTTTAGCCAAGGCGCAGGCTTTCCCCGGGTCCTACCCTCCCTCCGTGCGGGACCGAAAGTGCAAGTGGCCTCTGCGGAGGAGAAAGTCCTCGATGGCAGGCAGGTGTCCGGGGAGCAGGACTTCGCCCCGCCGCCTGCCTTGGCCTCCTGGGCCCGCTGCACCGTTGCCAACACCTCCAAGCCTTCTTCCGACAAATTCCAAATCTTGTTCCACCCCAGCTCTACCGCACAAGGCTAATGGGGAGTTTAGGGGACTCCCGCATTCTGGAACCTCGAAAAGCCTCAATCGTGCATCTCGAGGGCTCCGTGTTTTTTGCGGCAGGAGGACGGATGCTAGATCGACGTCGAGGCTTTGGCCCCCAGCCCTCTTTGTCCATCTGTCCCTCCGCCATCCGTCGCCCATACACTTCTGCATCCGTAGACTTGGAGTCAGGCCACCCCGTCCTTTATATGTCTTGTCGCAGAAGTCCGCCACCTGCGCGACTCTGTTCTGGAAGTGCGCCTGGGTCCTATTGCATCAGAAAGCGAATGAGGCCCCTCTTGTAGGTAGTTTTGTTTTACAGCGAGGCCCTGGGGCGCCAGGGGTAGTGGTGGTATTTGGACTCTTGGTGAGGCGCTCTCAGTCCTACGCCTCAGACCCACCTACTGCGGTCTGTTCCGGTAAAAGGGAACAACAGAAAGCCCCTTTAAACTTGATTTGATGTCATTACGTTTACAGATGCAGCTGCAATTGAGAAGCAGTAAAGGGACAGCTAGGGAGTGTTTTCTGTTTTAGTGAAACGGATACATTTTGATCTTCAGAATCAGGACTCTTCACGTTTTATGCCAAATGATTGTCCACCCCCCTGTCTATCAGTCTGTGAAGTAGAGTCTTAGGCTAAGATCCCGCTAACAGTGAGATCGGTCTTTGTAAATACTTTTCAACATGGTTGGCAAAAAATCCCCTAAAGAATGACATTTGACATTACCTGATAATCTGCTAGTTCTTTTATATTGACGCAGTGTTGAGATGTTAACAAAAAAAGATCCAGGCAGTTTAAACCCAGGGAGAAAGATAACGCAGTCGGGGAGATTTTATAGCCTTGGAAACTGGAAGGGAAGTCTCATGAAATCCAGCGAGAGTGTTGTTGTTGTTGCTATTGTTAGGTGCCATTATTAACAACCGGTCCTCATGGTCTCTGACACACTCAAGCCCAGTGCCACAGTCACCCTGTCAATCCACCTGGCTGGGAATCTTCCTCTCTTTAGCGGACCCCTCCCCCCACCTTCCCAAGCATGTCCCTCTCCAAATCCAGAATGGTAGTCAGTGACTTTTAATGTTCAAAATCCTTATTTGACCTGAAAAGACCCCAGGTTGCCCTTAGAAATAATAGAGAAAATGAAGATTTTTATTAGTGTAGATTTAGGGTTAATTTCCTTACAAATGTATTTGGGCCTTAAGTAAAAAAAAAAAAAAATTATTAATTTTAATTTATTTTTCTAAAATTCAGTTAATTATGGGCTCTCAACTCTTTTTTAGACATAGATTTTTGTTTTGCTTTGTTTTTTCCCTTCTGTTATCTTCATGAAGAGAACAGATTGATGGGCGTTTGTAGGAAGAAACTCTCACTAGAGTAAAATGTAAACATAAATTATTTTTGTGAATTTGCATGTAATTTTGACAAGATGTGCTGAATTCTGTGATAAAATTTCAAGGGATTTTTTTTTTAATGGGAAAAAAGTTTAATTTGAGATTGGCCTGTTATTGAAGGAACACTGATGGCATGGTGTGTAAGGTGTTTGCTAACTGAAACGCTGACAGTTCGAATACGTCAGCTGGTCTGTGGGTCACAGAAAGCCATCCTAAATATTGGGCTCATTTTGGTTTTTATTTTTTCCCCTGCTGTTTCCCCGCCTCCCCCTTCCCTCCCTTGCAGGAATGCAGTTGTTTTCTTTTCTTCTTCTTTTTTTTTTAAGTTGTTGTTAATGTTGGTATTTTGCTTCCCTTTCCAGAACATGAAGTTGTCCTCGACTGTGCTGTTCAGCTCAGGAGAATCGGGGACAAGCTGAGCTTCCGGCAGAAGCTTCTGAACTTGATATATAAACTCTTCCACTTGGGCACCTGACTGCTTCAAGACTTTGGGAAGAGGGGATGCTTTTAGAAGTGAAGATTCATGAGTTGATATCCAGGGCAACAGAAAAGCCCTCAACTTGCTTTTTGGAAAACGTGGGAAACTGGAGATGGAGATTTCACAGAAGATGGAAATTTCTTAGAAGCCCTTTTTTTCATTCTTAGGGATGGGAGAGCATTTTAAACCTTTTTGTTTGAAGGCAAGAGTGAAAACGCCTTGAAAATAAGAAAGTGATTCCTAACACATTTTTTTTTCTTGTATACCATCAAATTGGAGCATCTGGTGAATTCAAACCACTCGCCTTTGGGATTGCAGAGCTGCTTCTTGCCACTAGGCCACTATGCATTTCTTTTGTGCTTAGAGAATTGTGCTAGTATTTCTATTTCTGAGTCTAAGAACTGTTGAAAGACCGTGGACGTGGTGGGAAAAACAGTGGGATAATTTGGTTTTAGTTTTGTCTGATGATCCCAGAATAATGTAGAATATGTACTTCAGGTGCACTGTCTTGTGAAAAATCCAAATGCCTTCTGAGAACACTGGACGTCCAAGAGAATACTGATTATGTAGGTCACTACAAAATGAAAACGTAATTTTTCATTATTTGTTTCATGTTGCATTACTTCTGTTCAGATGAGAGGTTTCTCATTAAATTCATTCCTCTGTTTATGAACTGGAACAGATGTACTCTGAACAAATTCCGTAGATTTATGAGTCATCACTTGGTGTCAGAAAAGTGCCTTTGCAGATTGACTATATGATGGTAAAGAGCTTTGGGGGGGGGTGTTTTACATAACCAGGTATAATAATAAAAAAATACAGAGAGGGAACTTGATTTTTTTTTACTGCTGTAATTAAAATTTTTAGTCAAGTAATAAACATTTAGTAAGACCAATGTTCTAAAATAACTGTAAGTAACAGAATTGATAAAGACCAGTAAAATTCTTTTTGTTTTAAATTCTGTGTAGTCTATAAGAAGTCTGTGTATTCTATAAAAAGGGTATTTTTCAAAAGAGTAATAAGTCAGGTTTTCATTATTGGTATCTAATTAAGCTCCTCCAGAAAAAGCTGGGCAATTTCCTTTCATGGGATGTATAGTCTTTAAAAACTGCTGGAGGGTCAGCTATGAGCCTCTTCTGCCTTGAAAGCAATGAGTTCGTTTTGTTGGAGTTTTAGAGTTTTATCCAGAACAAAATGTTCTGCATATACATAGATGGATGTATATGTACCTATGTATGAGCGTGCATATGAGGTTATTTATGGTGATGCATTTGCATTGGGGTATTTTGCTGTGTATACACACAGGGGTAACGATAAGGATATATTTGCACTGGTTTATGATGCTATTCGTGTGTGCACGTGGGATATAGTTTTATTAGAATGCTATGCAGTGTACACACACACGGGAATTGTTTCTAGAGATATGTTTGCATTGAAGTACTGTACAAAGACCTAAACAATTTCACGAGGGTGATGTGGTTTGGTTTGGGGTTTTTATTCTGTTAGAAGCCCAGGATATGTTATGAAGTTCCTCAGTACTTAAGAACAATGTCCTGGTTCAGTTCCATCAGGAACAATCTTTATTTATGACGTTTATTTATAACAAAAAATTTTGTTGTTGGGTTTTTTTGTTTAACCTGAATGTACATTTCAGTTTCGAGACAAAGGATATCATGAGAACTTGAATTATTGCAGTTAAGAATGTTTTGATCAACACTGTAGTCACTTTAGATGAAAAGTTACCTCGGTGTTAGTCTCCTTCAGTATTACAGATCACTGTTGGTTTATTTCCTTTCATGTTTTAAGAAAGTACTCCTGGGGGTTTTTTCCCCTTCTGCCTGGAGGGAGGGTAGTTTGTTGTATGAATATTTATGGTCTCTAGCTATTTATATAATTTGATAATTGTAGCAATAAACTTAGTAAACATGATTCCTTTTTTCACCTGGTGTGTTAATTTCTTTGTCACTTGGATTCCTAACAGTTGAATCTTTTAGGAATATTTGAAGGGGTTCTCAGCAGCCAGTCAGTACTGTGGGGAGCTGAAGATGCTGGGGGCATTTCTCACCATCTGTGCTACCTAGACATTTGCACTTGAATTGAGGACAGGAAATCTTAAAAAATAGAAAACAAATGACAGGCTTCCAACTTGAGGGCTACCCCCCTCCCCCCTTCAGATCCTCTGGGAGATCTACTTAATTGAGCTGTAAAAACCCCAAGATCTAATTAGAGGTACAGGAGAGGGGAGGCCTCCTTGCTTGCCCCAGGGTCAGTTTGGGACAAGCGTGGCTCCCCGCGGTTTCCTCCTAGGTGACCTCACCCTTCTGCCCCCAGGGCTGGAGTGGCAAGTATTGCTTCATCGAGGCCAGTCATGTGCAGAAGTAGGTGTGATTCTGCCCTTCCTGTCTGAATGTGAGAACGAAATGACAGCCCCGCAGACAGGTTCTAGGAACCGCACCTTCACCAATTCCTGCCCAGCAAGTGGGCTGCACACCTGCTGTGAATGGAAATGGCTTTCTTTAAGAGCGGGCAGCAAGGCGGAGAGGGTTACAGAAGAAAGTCACCAGGGAGATGGGGACCAGAGGCCATGGAGAGGCAGTAAGAGTCATGTCAGACAATGCAGCAGCTTCTCAACACAGGCTTCATGCTGCAGGAAAGGGTGGGGGTAGTCAGCCTCCTTAAAAACCAAAAACACCCAAAGAAACAAACAACCCCAAATAGGGGAGAGGTAGGTATGGGGAGCTCTGGCAGAGATGGACTGCAACCCCAAAGGCATGTGGTTCTAATCCAGTCACCAGGTGCTCCGCCAAGAAGGATGGACAATCGCCTCCCACAGGATTAACTGCCTCTGAAAACAGCTCTGGTTCGATCCCACCTCCATGGTACACAGCAACAACAACAAGGTGAAGGTATACAAGAAAAGTTTTCTTTAAAACTGTAAAAAGTGGACTGCACCAACAAACCATGGTAATTAACGCCTAAGAATAATTTCTGTGAAAACAAATATGATTTGTAAACTTTCACTCTGAAAAAAAAGTGCAAATAAAATGAATAAAATACATACATAAATAAAAGATGGGCAAACCCATTTCCCAGGTTGAACAGGAAGGTCATTGGAGAGGAAATTTTGCTTCTAAGCCTTTTTACATAGCCACAAAGAACCTAGTGTTTTTTGTAACCCAAAACAGCACCTCTTTGCCGACCACTTGGAAGCAATTCATAGGTGATCTGATGTTGAATTTCTAAAACCCCCTCTCTTAAAGCTGCTGGTGGATTTGAACTATCGGAGAGCTGCAGTCTTTACATGAGAGCTGGAGCTCTCTATGGACTCTGCCACCAGAACCATCCTCTTTTTTTTTTTTTTTTTAAAGCATCAAAACAAAGGAAAAAACCTCCTATATATATTGATGTAAAAGCATTCCTAAGATACCCACATAATCATATATGTGAACTGACAGGAGACTAAAAGCTAAAATCGCGTTTTCTTGCGTTTACATTTAAAAGCCTCAATCTCAGTATTCTGCGTCCTTGAACCTTCTCTCTTTGACCGGTGCCTTTCCCTTCCACTCGGATTCCTCTCTGAAACCCACATGTTATACAATTCCCCATGCGGAGAACATGAAGCTGGAGTTTGTCACTGCCAGGAACAAACATCCCAGACCAGGGGCAATTGGTGTGACTTGAGTTCCTTATTTCTGGGTGAGGTAGAGAGGAAGACAACAGGTTTGCGGCAGGGAACCCCAAAGAGGAAAATGAAAAGAGGATGAAGTGGGGTACCAACCAGCTCCCCCTGGCTGGGCTTGAAGGTAGAGCCTCTGATAAGAGTGAGAACCGGGTACAGAGAGAAGCTGGGAGACCAGGGGAGGCATTTCCAAGTCACTCCCAGTTCTACCTTCGAAACCTGAGTTGGAAAAACAAAACAAAAAAAAACCCTAGTTTGAGGCTCTTAGCTTTCCTTGTCTTTGGGGTCTTCACAGGTTTCACACAAGAGGGGTGCACTAGTGCCCAGCACTGTACCTGATAAGAACCAGACACTGCTTTGTGGCAAGAATGATGCTTGTCTGAAGTGCCTGCAACGGGGAGGATGGGGGCAGGAAGCTGGGAAGTGATAATGGGGTGTCAAGTTCCCCTCAGCAACTTTACCTTTTTTCTGCCTCTATTGGATTCGCTGATGGATTCAAACCCCACAGAAGCGCCACCTTTGGACTAGCGGCCTAACTCTATGGGCTACGTCACCAGAGCTTTCAAAACGGAACACTTTTCATTTGGTTTCTTCTTCCTCTTTCACCAGTGGTTTAGATGCACTTTGAGCAAGTCTTTCTGCTCCTTGTTCCTTGTTCTCTGCTGATTCCCTAAACCCCCTTTCTCTGCCTGGCTGAGAAATAGAAATGACCATTTCATTTCAGCCGCCAGGGTTTTGTAACTGGGCAAGAGTAACACTGATGGTAAAAGTTGGTGTACCGGGGAGACGATGGGCATCTTCTGGGAGGGATATAATTGAAAGAAGATTTACCGATCTCTCAAGGTGTGCCCTCAAGCAAGGCAGTCTCTCTGGGCCAGAGCCATTCTTCTGATTCCAGGAATTACAGATGAATCTTAAACATTCTGGGTGGCTTGACTCTGAAAGTAGAATGTCAGAAGGGAACGGGAGTGTAGCAGCATCCCCACTTTGCCTTCCTTTCTGGCCTCACTTCAGATGTAGAAGGACCAAAGAGTTTCAGTTAGGGTGTTGGTGAAGAATATTGAATATTTCAATACTGAATGGACTGTCAGTACCGCCAGAAGGACAAATGTGTCCTGGAGGAAGGGTGGGCTTGGAAGAACGCTCCTTAGAATACTTTCAACTTGTTATCAGGAAGGAAAAGAGTCTGGGAGGACCTCGTGTCTGACAGAGTAACAGGTCAGCAATAAAGAGGAAGGCTCTCACAAGACGGATGCCTGCAGAGGCCACACCAATTAGCTCACGCTCAGCAGTGATTATTGTGGGGTCTGCACAGGAT